AATCTGGTATTTACACATATAACCTTACAAAAATAACACCTAAACCACATTTCTGGCAGAAATCACAGCAAAGTAACTCACCATAGCAGATGTACTAATCACAGAAGCAGGGGCAATTTGAAGCTTTCCAGGATGATTCACTAAAGGAGGGACACTGAAATTGGAGTACTCAGATTGAATTGTTCCCCTAATTGCTAGTATGAATGAAGCAGTAAAAATCACCAGCAGTATCACTGGCAGTATATAAAAAAATGCCATTTAACTTAACCAAAGGTGAGGTGTCTTTATGCCTATCTTTGATTTAGCTTTCTCAGATAACAGTAAACCTCAGAGCAGTCCAAGTTACAACAGATCTCGCAGCTGCCGCACACTTTAAAGTCCTTGGAAATGTTGTGCAAGGTGCCAGCACGCATCATGTTGGAGAAGAGGTGGAGGACAATGTGTTTAATTTCCTGTTTATCTTTACGTTAGTTGTGGGACTGATACAGGGCCTGGTATTCTGCATGGTAATCTTGGATTGCAGATTATATGAATGACTGTTCAGAGATAGTGGTTAAGTACTGAATGAAGGTCTAGTTTATGACGGGTTGCTAATTACAAGGAGAGCCAGCTACAGTGGAGATTGTCTCTCCCATCTGATTTGCAGCCACAACATATTGCTTCCTGTATTGTGGATATACTTTAAGTAGTTTGGAATATATGGTTTTAACAAGGACGTTTAGAAAACAGGAACTAACATTAGGGGAAAAAAAAGCTAACGTGTGCTCTACAAAAATAAATTCATCAATCTTATTTTGTTGTTAGAGTATTTAAGCACAGGAACAAGTTTTTCAGCATACTCGTATGTTTGATAAACATAGGAAAATACTTAGAGCATTTCCTCCATTATAATTTACTGTAACAAAGCTGTTAATAGAGTATCTCTGTTGGGGACAGCTGCAGTTTTTACTTCATTTATTCAAGTCTAAAATACCAGTTACCTGGCCCGTAGAAATTTTGTGCACGTTGGTGACTGCGAGTCTTAGACTCAGATGCTACGTGTAGCATATAGCAAAGGCAATGTGTTACAGCGTTGTAATTTCAGTATCTCCTTTACCAAAACACACTTAGCCTTCTAGGAAGAACGAAAGCATAGATCGTAATTGAATAAAATGGGTCAGACCAGATGTTGATTTAAAATTTTACTGCATCTTTAATATTTATTGAGAGGATAGCAAGTGCCTAGTCCAAATAGGTCATTAAAATAGGCAGACTGCACATGGAATACTTCAAACAGCACTAAAAGAAACTTTCATAGCGTTCTTGAAATGTTTTTCAGTGGTCGCACTGGCATAATTGCTCATTGACAAGTTGTCCTATCTAAACCTCTTACATGGAATTTAGAAGCATAAAAGACGAGAGAAAATTGGTGGTTCTTATAGAAGGGAAGAAAATTGTTTCTATAAGCTTTTTAGAAAGTTCACAACATTGTCAAGACCCCTTTTTCCAGATGAAAATGACAACCAGTCACTATTAAATGAATTTATGATTCCATGGAATCCATCCTCCAGGTGGTACCAGGTCACTCGAACACCGTTGTCCTCCAATCTCTTCTTGTAAAGCAAGCCGTCGTCCCTCAGCACATCGTACTCACAAGTCAAGATGAAAGATTCAGGCAGCTGCTGAACAATAGCATCTTCGGCTAACAGCGGGCACAGGTTGGGCTCACAGAATCTTTTCACTGTCTCATAAACTTCGGTTGTACAGTCAAGTAGCACATGTGGTTTGTAGCCTCTGACCTTAAATTTTTCGGGGATGTTATCTGGACTCACCCACTTCCTATAATTTAATTTAATATCTATAGGAATATGGGAACCCTCCAAGACCTCTTCCAGATTTGATGCATTCCCATTTAAGTACTGTAATACGTAGAAAGCGGCACGTTCTCGGAATAAGAGAGGGACTCCCCTGTTCTGCTGATAGGATGGTAAATTGAAGTCCAGTGCCTGAAGGCCTGGGTAGATCAAGATCTGAGCACGTAGTCTGGGGAGGTCTGATCTACCTGCGAGGGTCTGGCTAACAGCAGCTGCTAGATTGCCCCCAGCGCTGTCCCCGCAGACAATTACATTGGCAGGATCCACGCCATAGTGCTCGGTCATCTTCATAAAGTGTATGGTAGCATTGAGACAGTCTTCATACGCAGCGGGGTATTTGTGTTCAGGAGCTAAACGATACCTAGTACGCAGAAAGAGACAACAATATGGGAAATACTGGTTTTAAATGTATTGCTGAAAATACTGCTTCCTGCAACCACCAATACCCTGACTACCTCAGAATTTTCCGTTTCTCTACAGGTTGTCATAAATAAAATGCGGCTAGTTGGACCAGGTGGTGCAGATTAACTTGTTAGGATATCAGCTGTTTAGAATGTTTTTCAGGTCTTTAACAACACAGCTGCCAACTATGCCTAGGTTTTATTGACAGTCATTTAGTCGGTCTATGCTTTAGCTTTCCATGTGATGGATACAAATGACAATACTTCGGTTTTATGTCTCTGTTATAGTGCAACTGTATCTGCGTAATCCAAATCGTTATGTCAGTATATTGATGATGATATTAGCTTGTTGTTCTCATAGTGCCTCTGTAAGCATCAAGCAGAGTTTCCTTGAATAAGGATTAAGTAGAATATATGGCTTACTATCTATTTACTATGAATTATGAGTTTAGAATTTGAAAACATTGATTGACAAATACCATCGAAACATTTCTCTGAGAATGGTTGTTGCTGTGATCAGGGAAGCTATAAGATGATATTTACACTATTAGGAAATAATCTCTAAAGAACAGCGTGAGGAAAGACTCACCCAACAGATACAACCACTGATTCACTTTCTCTGGCCATAGAGCGGCAAAGCTTTTCATGGGTCTCTGAAAGAAACGTATTTGGTGAGGTTTGGATTTGTTTTGTTTTTCCCAGAGTACTAGTGTTGTCTATTGCATAAACCAAAGAATTACAAGAAGAAAATACTCTCTACTTTTCTCTGCCCCGTCCTACGTAGCTCCTCAGACTTTTTGTACCCCCTCATCTTCCTGTTTCAGTATTTGCTTACTGTATTTTTTACCCTTATAGCTCATTGTCCTTGTCTTTAAGAAAAATGCACATAATGTACAGCAGATGCTTTCTTGTGACAGCAAGACTTAGGAGAGTGCACCTGTGGTTACACTAGAACTTCGTAACTGCTAGAGATCAAGCAACAATCAACTTTACCATTTATGAAGTAGATACTTCTTTAACTAAATTATAATATTTTTTCTGTTAGATATCTTACCAAGACTTCCAAATACCCATCCTCCTCCATGGAAAAACATAACTCCTCTCCTTGGGCTGGCAGATGGAACCTTGGGCTGATAAATCCTTACAGGCACTTTCTCAAACCACAAGTCCTTGATGAAGAGCTTCGGGTCCACTCCTAGAGTCTTTCTACCTTGCACGTACCGAACAAAGCTAACCTGACTGCAGATGCCAATATTTTCCAAAATCTTTCCCTGTTCAAAGGCAAAGAGAATAGGGATTTCACTCAAGAGATTCTGTATTTTCCGAAGTAAAGGAACTGTATGGGCAGTATACTCATGACGTCTAAATCGTATATTTTAGG